ACTGAAGAAAAGATTTGATCCAACTCTCCTATGCCATGATTGTCATTTTCTGTGCACCTTTAATTTTTAAAAATGCCTTTGCTTCAATTTCTATTGCAGTCACACATTTCTCACGCTTTTCTCATCCCCATTGCTTTTGCAAATACATTGCATAATGGAGATCTGCGTTGTGTGAAGAAGGCCTTATAGTCTAAGCAAACACAGCAAAAGCACATGATAGATTAAGGGAGATATGATGGTTGAAATTAAAATGTCTGTGTTGGTAGCCAGTCCAGTTGGTGGGTCTTGCTATAAAGTTTACCCCATCTATAATTTATCAGCGTTTGCAAACTGAAACACATGAGTTTATGATACTTAGATTATTACTCAAAGCAGACAACTGTAGCAATGCAAATAAGGGTTCTTATCACTACCAGTTGTAATCAAAGGACCTGCCAAAGATGGGCTTTTGCTCAATGATTTTTTTCACCAAGAATACAAGCTGAGCTGTGGTGGTATGTGTTTTAGTCTCAGCTACTCAGGAGGTCTAGGCAGCAGAGGCACTTAAATCCCAGAGGTTTGGGGTCAGCTTGGGCATCTTACTGAGATCTTTATTTTTTTAAAGAAAAAAAAAAGAAAAACCAGACTGTACATTTTAATTTCTACTAGAAGCAATTGATACATCACCCGGAGGTCTTACTTTTAACATGCTAATATTGCCCACATTAGAAGGTACTGTAACTTCACTCAGGCTTTAATTTAAAGGCTTTGATTTAATAGTCAAAAGCAGCAACCACTAATGGTTAAATGAGCAAACCAAACAATAGATGCTTTCAACAGGTTTGGCTTGTACTAGGAAATATAAGCAGCTGTTTCTTTGCTAAGGGCAGAGATAGTTCTGTGAGACTTGCATTTAATTAGTAAACTGAAAATGACTTAGTGAAAAGGAGCAAGTGAAAGTCAAGCATCTGCTCTTCATTTAGGTTCTTAAAAATGGAAACTCCTAATAATTGCCAAAAACTTGAAGCAAGCTATATGGAAGATGCTTGGAAAGCAATAGGAGTTGCTCACGTACTGTCTAAATATAACCCACATGGTAAACACTGGTATGTTCAGAAAAATGCAGAATTTTACTATAGAATTGAAATCTCAGTGTGTTGTGCAGATTCCCTACTAGCTGGGCAGCCATGTGACTTGTGACACGTGACTCTCTGAGTTATTCATGTGGAAACCAGTTGTCTTTTTTTTTTTGGTCCGGTCGTGGGGCCTGAAATATGGGCCTGGGCTCTGTCCCTCAGCTCTTCAGCTCAAGGCTAGCACTCTACCACTTGAGCCACAGCGCCACTTCCGGCTTTTTTTTTCTGCTTATGTGGTGCTGAGGAATTGAACCCAGGGCCTCATGCATGCAAGGCAAGCGCTCTACCACTGAGCCAACTTCCCAGCCCCAGTTGTCTACTTTTTTCCACTCTCCCCTTCCTTCTTTTATTCTAAGGTTTCCGCCATTATTATTATCATTATTATCACAGCTTATGACTGCACAGGTAATTAATCTTGTTGACTGTCTTGTAGTTTGGTGTGTGTGGGGGCACATGACCAAGTTGTCATGGATGGAATATAAGCAGAAGTTAAGGTGTACAGTTTCTATATCATTTCCAGCAAAGGAAATTGTGTTCAAACCATTTCTTTTCCCTCCTTCCTTCCTGTGGTCAGGAGGAGGACTAGTCTCACGGGGATGGCAGAGCTACACAATGGAAGGAACTTGAAGCCCCAAGAACCCCATGCAGGCGAGTCCTCTAACCACTCAGTATTGCCCTTCTCCTCCTCAACTAGTGCGTGAGAGAAAAAGTGAAGTTCACTATCCTTTGTCCTGCCATTATGCTTGAAAGTATCTTTCTGAGAGCAGCTTAGTTGCAATCAAATTCACTTATATTTGGTGAGCAATCCTCTCTTTTTCTATGTAGAAGACATGCCCAGCCTTAAAAAAAAGATAAAGCTGGAACAGCAGAATTAAATTTTGGAAAAAAAGGAGATTTGAGAAGTTTGATTTCCTCACTGAGAGAAGATAGCACATTTGTATTTTTTTCTTCAAGGGACTTAATTCCATTCACATGAGCAAACATTTATTGAGCACCTACGTTGCACAAATCCTGTAGGAGTCACTAGGGATACAGAGAGGGAGTACCCACAGTCCCTGCTCTCAAGGAACTCACAATCTACTGGGGGCAGACAGCACATATACAAACAAATGCCCTGGAAGGTGGGATGCATCTGATAAAAAGGTATGAATGGGATTGTGTGGAGCATGGGCAGGGGCAGATGGGGATCTCAGGAAGATTTCACAGATGGGATTGCATTTGAGCTCTCTGTTGAAGGACTAGTGGGAGAGAGATGAGGAGTGGTAGGCCTCGATTTGTGAAGCAGTGGGGAGAAATATGGTGGGAGTTTAGAGAGAGCAGATTGATATTCAGAATTATCTGAAGTGGAAGTGGTGACACAACTCTGGAAAGGTATTTTGAAGCTACATAGTGTAAGGGCCTTGAGGACTATACCAGGTATCTAAACTTATACTGATGGGGAAAGTGTAGAGGATAGAGAGCATTGTATTATCAAATCAACAACGCATTCCTGAATGGTAAACCAAACTTCAGCTCATGCCTGAATCTCCCGGGAAGCTTGTTAAAATGGAGACCAGTGGGCTCCACTCTCAGCATTTATGATTCAGTTGGTCCTGAGTGAAGTCATAGACTTCACAGTTTTCAAAAGTTCCCAGGTGATATGATGCCACTGGTCTGGAGATGCCATTCTCAGAAGCTTCCTACAGGACAGTGCTGTAGGAAGATGTTTTTGGCAGGTATAAGGAGAAAGAATTGCAGGTGGAAGAGTCTAAAGCTAGATGGATCCAATAAAAAGAAGGCCAAAATATTGGAGAAGATGGTGGCTTATTAAAGACAAATGTACAAGGCTTTAGGACTATGTGGATATGGGAGCCTCGTGGCAGAGAATCACATTTACCTAATGTGAATGATTAGGAGCGATTAGTGATTGTGTTATGTGAGTTGAAAGGTAGAAGTAGGAGAAAACTTGTGTGTGTGAAAATGATCATGAGTAAGTTTACAATGGATGCTTTGGAGGTATTGGTGGATTATTCATAGGAAGGTACTTATTCACAAAGAGGGTCTGAAGTTGGAGTAATTAATGTGAGAGCCACAGACACCGAACTAAGTGTTACAATGGCAGAGGTTGGTGTGGAATATAGGGTTACAGTAAGTGTCTGCTGAGGATATAGCTCCAGGATAAAGAACGAGGGGACAAAGAACAAGGAGGTGAGAAGGTAATTGGAGAGCCAGGAGACAGTAACCTATCCTGGAAGGGGATGGCCAGCTGTTTTAATTGATGATAAAATGACAAGCAAAGACAGACAGAAGAAAAGCCACTGCATTTGCTTATTGGTAAGTCACCGACGACCTTTGGGAGATCGGACTGAGGAGAAATGGCAGTATATTCACTCAGATGGCAAAGGATAGAGAAGGCTTGTAGATACTCAGGTGGGAGTTAGAGCGGAGTTGAAGCAGAAGCTTGTGTGGTAGGTCAGAAAGCTGATTATTAGTGTCTCCGACACTTGAGCAAAGCAATAGGTGAGGGGGCAGAGTGAGGAGAAATGAGGTGGAGTAGAAGGAAGCGGGAGGAAAGGAGCGAGGTTACAGAAAAGTGGGAGGGGATAGATTTAAAAAGGTGAGAAGGGAAACCAATGGGAGTGAAGGGAGGAAGAGGGGCTGTACATGAGAGGCGAACAGCAGCGGCTTTCAACAGTCACTTACGGAGGGGAACACAAGAATTTACACCCTTCCAGTGCTTCTCCCATCATCGTGACTTGGTGGTGGTGAGCTCATCCATCCAACTACAGTGGTTACTCCAGGTCAGAGGAGGCTGCCTTAGGCCATTCTCTGTGGCCTCTTGGATGCAGTCTGGTGTGGAAGCCATGGGGATTCCGGGAGGTAAAATTTCATATTCATTTCCTGATGGGTGGCCTTTGCTGTAAACATAGATTTTCAAGTTTTTATTTCTATGCAAGGACACAGCTGGTCATTTTCATGGGTAACATTCTTCAACAAAATTTTGCCTTTCATCACTGTACCTCTCTAACCTTCTTAAAAAAAATCTCTCCCTCCCCCCCCAGATTGAACATATCTTCTTAACATGAATCCTGCTAGAGGAGAGAGTGCATGGGAGGCTTAGGGCAAATACTTGTTTTGGAATGGGAGGAGGCCCGGTGTGTTGGTTAGCAGCATACTGACTTACGTAGATTTAGCTGGTTCTTGTTTGTTTGTTTCATATTCATAGTGGAAGACTAAGGAAGTGCCAGTCCATGCATTGTGGGTTCTTTTTTTTAGAGAACAAGGAAGCTTATTTAATCAGGAACTTTAGAAAAAACATGCCAGCTGTATGATTTGTGCCTGGAAAAAGTAGGCTATGTAGTTACAATGCTATAGAAAATGACTTAGCTTGGGTGTACAAGCAGAGTGACTGCATGCCACTTTCTTTTTGTTTTTGTTTTTTGTTTTTTTTTTGGTCCAGTTGTGGGGCCTGAACTCTGGGCCTGGGCACTGTCCCTCAGCTCTTCAGCTCAAGGCTAGCACTCTACCACTTGAGCCACAGTGCTACTTCCGGCTTTTTTCTTTTTGCTTATGTGGTGCTGCGGAATCAAACCCAAGGCCTCAGACATGCAAGGCAAGCACTCTACCACTGAGCCACCTTCCCAGCCCTCTTTTTGTTTTTTTTTTTTATGCAGTCATGTACTTCCCACAGAAATTTGGGTGCACCTTGAGTCACAACTTCAGATTTAATGCTATGCGAGGGCATGTTATTGGATGTTTGACATATAAACAACAAGAAATTCTGCAAATAAAGATTTTTGCAACACCTTCTTTAATTGTAGGGGTCACTAAAATCTCTTGGGGAAACACTATTAAGAGTATTTACTATTTCACTTTATAATTTCTATGTAATTACTGCTTTCGGAAGATTATGTTTATTTGAAATTATGTACCACAGATAAGACCAGAGGTAGAAAACAACACACCAAATAACAAGACTCAAACATAAAAGCATAAAACAAATTCACAAGACCACACATACTTACAAACTCTCCTGAACCAAGTATGTTCAAGAATTAATAAGCTACACCCCTTACCCTGTCCACACAGGAGGCTCTGCAGAGTAAATGTCATGCCTTTTGGCTTTTGACAATCTATGTATGCTCTCGGCACCGAATGAGTTTTTTAAAAGCCAGTTTAAAATCTTCATTAAAACTTGTGTACAGCAGAGGGTTGATCAGAGAATTCACATAACCCAGCCACGTCAAAAAATCAGCTACTTCAGAGGATACAGTATAGATGCTCAGACCTACAATCAATTCTTTGATGAAAAACGGCAGCCAAGACAAAATGAATGCACCCAAAATCAGTCCCAGGATGCGGGCTGCCTTGCGTTCCCTGGTGCTAGAGATCTGTTGTCGTTCTCCAGGGTAATCTAGATCATTGTCAAAGGGAGGGATCCTGATAGAGGTGTGGATCTTTTCAAATTCTGTGGTAGGGTCTGAGGTGGAGAAGTCAGACACACAGAAAGTCTGCGTGAGTTTGCAACTTGCAAAAGAATTCTGGCTGTCTGTGCTTCTGTTGCTTAAATGCCGGCTTGAGCCCCTCTTTTGGTAAAGGCTCTTGGCTGCATGGTAAATGCGGTAATAGAGAATCAGGATCAAAGTCAAGGGGATATAGAATGCCCCGAGTGTGGAATAGATGGTGTAGATCACATGGTCATGCTGGATGGTGCACTGGCTGGGGGGTGGGCTGAGCTGGCGGTGGCTCCTCCAGAACAGAGGGGGCATGGAGATGAAGATAGAGATGGTCCAGACAGTGAGGATCATCAGTCCAGCTCTCTTGGCTGTCCTCTTCCTGGCATACTCAATAGCATTGGTGATGGCCCAGTACCTGTCCAGGGCAATCACACACAGATGGAGGATGGAGCAGGTACAGCAGGTCATGTCCACACTCAGCCACACCTCACAGATGAAGTATCCAAGCTTCCAGCTCTCCATGACAATGTACATGATGCTCAGGGGCATGACGAGCACGGCCACCAGCAGGTCTGTCACAGCCAGTGAACAGATCAGGTAGTTGGCGGGCTGGTGGAGCTTCTTGGTGGTGCAGATGGCCAAGATGACCGCCGTGTTCAGCAACATGGTCAGGGTGGTGATGATCACCAGAGTCATGCAAATGAGCATCTTCTCCGTGACAGTCTTAGGTCTCACCGCCACGCCGGCTTCTGCAGTACAGTTAGTGAGGTTCATGTTTCCCCAGTTTTGATCAACACGATGAGAAGCGACTAGTTCTTTTTTTTCAGTCGGAAATGATGTAGCCTCCAGTGTCTCTATGATTGTTTTAGCTTTACTGCCTCCTGTGTTCCATTTCTGGGGGGTAAAGGAAATGGCTGCTGCATTTCTTCCGAATCGAGAGTTCCTGCAAAACATTAAGCCACTGATTAATTAACTAAAAAAAAGGCCACATTTTTCCCCTGGAAAATACGATAATATTTGATACTCATAAAATGCCACACAATTTAGACATACTTTTCTTCTTCCTCTCTGTAATTTGAGGTCATCTTCACAATACTTTTAAGTTACCAAACTACTTCTGATACATTACTGAATTTTAAGTCTATTTTGCTGCCTCAATTAGTTTCTTATGTATATTATTTTTTTGATGTGTTTACTTTGGAAAGGTATAATTGAAAAGATATATGCACACTTTTTTTTTGTCAGTGTGGGGCTTGAACTCAGGACCTGGGGGCTGTCCCTGAACCTCTGTGCTCAAAGCTAGGGCTCTAGCACTTGAGCCACAGTGCTGCTTCTGGCTTTTGAATGGTTAACTGGAGATAAGAGTCTCACAAGACTTTTTTGCTTTGCTGGCTTTGATCCTTAAATCTCAGCCTCCTGACTAGCTGGGATTACAGGTGTGAGCCACCAGTGCCTGGCTCATATGCACATTTTAAAAGACTTTAAAAGTTGTGAGACCATGAGATTAAAAAAAACCTGTTTATTATGGACACCAAATCAGATTTTAAACATTTATTGAAAAATTCCACTCCAAAGGTATATTAGTATCAATATGGGATTTTGTATATTGATATTTTACATATCCAACTGATCATTTCTTTGGAGAAAAGAAAGTATATAATATTTCTTAGTGCTTGTGGTAAATTGTTCTCAGAGTACTATAGTAAATCAACTATGAGAGTAGTATGAAGAAGGGAGTAGTAAGGTGGTTGAATATAATCAGTGTGTACTGTAGACATGTGTGGAAATATCACATTGAACCTCATTAATATGCACAACTAATATGTTCAAACAATTATAATAAGGCACATAGATGATTAAAAAATTAAATGTGTATTTGGTTGAGGTTAGCATGTGTTCTGTATATGTGTGTATAAATGTGTCTATTTCTCACACGTGTTTATTTCTCTCTTAAAATGTTCAGTCCATGACTGGGCTTTTTTTTAGCACAACAAATACATAAATCAGTAACATTGTAATTTATTATAATTAACAAGTAAGTCAGTGACATTTTAAAGAAAAAGTCAAATATAGATGCCTATCTATGAGAACTAAACAATCAGGATCCAAATATTCACAGCTAATGACTGCTGGATAGAAGCTGATCCAATTATCTGGTGCCATGGGATTAGGTCCAAAAGAGACTAATGAAAATATGAGAAAGAAAAATGGGTATTTTGGCAGTTTTTAGAAGGGAAATAAATTGATGTATATCACGTTTAGCAGACACAATAATTTTAGCAGAGGATGTGTTTCAGATACCTTTTAACAGGGAGTGAATGAGTGGGAACCTTTGGATAGATTTAGGCATAAAAATCACTAGCCTAGGGAGACATCCATCCCTGAATTTAGCTCTCCTGTTCAGCAACCAAGAAGAGAGGGAAATGGCATCATTTATATCCAGATGGAGAATGTGAAAGAAAATAACAATGATCTCACTAAAGACCACAAATAGGACCATTGTTTGGCTACAGTTTGTATCATTCTGCACTTAAAGAATGCTCTTCCTTCCTGTCTCTTCCACTGTCTTTTATGGTGTTTCTAGATTACTACTTCCAGATGTCTTGGGTTTCTCTAGTGCTGCCATGAGGTTTGCTCTACAGTCCCCTCTGTGTTGTAGATAGGATGGTTTTTGCCATGCTGGTGTCCATCCTTTCATAAACATTTTAAGATCTAAGACAGTCTGTAAAATTGGAAGAGGTTGGGCTGACTTTGGGATAAGTCAGATCTAAGTTCAAACTGCAGCTGAGTCATGTACTAGCTGTTTTGGTTCACCTCTCTACATTTCTTTCTGGGTCCCAAGTGTTTCTCCATGTGTCCTCTCTATCATTAATAAAATGAAGTGACTTGTTATTTTTTGTTCATGAATTAATCGTTGGTTATGTTTTACTTGTGTTCTTGAGGTTTGCAGGGTAAAGCAGTGCTCAGTAAGAAGGTTTAGGTTTTTTTGTTGTTGTTCTAATTTTAAGACTGAGAATATAGAAAGAAACATAGACAAGGCATAGAAAATGTTAGGAATTTCAATTTACAGCACAGGCAATTAAGAATCATAGTTACTGCAAAGAGCTGAACCATAAGAAATAATTCAATAGAACTTTGCAAGGTTGCTCTTTACTGAATCCCCTCATCTGTTAATAGTCTCTTCTTTGGGATTGTGATTTTATTCCTTGTTTTGTAACTGTGTGTGTGTGTGTGTGTGTGTGTGTGTGTGTGTGTGTGTGTGTGTGTGTGTGTGTGATCCTGGGGATCCTGGGGTGTCCTTAAGCTGTTTTGCTCTACCAGTGGTTTTATAACCACTACAAACTCTTAAGTAGATAGTATGATTTCTAATTAGAACAGTGCTTGTTAAATAGCTCCACTTCTGCCTTTTTTGGTTGTTAACTAGAGATAAGAGTCTCTTGGACTTTTCTGCTTGGGCTGGATTTGAACTATGATCCTCAGATCTCAGCCTCCTGAGCAGGTAGGGTTACGTGTGTGAGCCACTGGTACCTGGCTTATAACTGTTTTTTATTGATCCATAAGCTACACATTTCTGGTGAGTAGTAATTACTTTGGGTTAAATTACATTTAACCCAAATGTTGGTGTGTGTAGTGTTCCATTCGCAGCCCTTTTATGCGACTTTCTGATTTATTTTGTTTCCAAGCCTATCAAAATAGGGGTTACATTTTGTATTCATGTGTTTCAATTCACCCTGAACTCCTGCATAAATCCTTTTTCATCCTCTTTTCCCACAACAGTAGATTTTGATGTTCTCTCCATAATAGCACATATAACATATTCTTTTGGACAGATAGGTAGATTAGGCCTAGAAGACCTTGCTGGGGAATGAATACAGTTGGAAAAGTTCAAAGATTTGGGTTCTAGTGCTCTTTACTTTTTAAAGGTTTGAGAGGTAAAAAGGAAGCAGTGAAACAGAGAACAGCTATCAAGACGGATGACAATCATAAGAAATCATTTTATTTTGAGACCTTACGATGAAAGTCTACATTGATGGAGACTTGAGTGCTGGGCTGGATGATATGATGAGGTCTGTGACCTTCACAAGAGCAGTCTGGTGAAGCCATGGGGATAAAAGGCTGAATGAACAGAGTGGTTTTAGGAAAGCACATGCATAGAGGAAATAGAGACAGTAAGTAAGAACACAGACAACAAGGCTTTTGCTAAAGGACAGAAAACTAGAAATTTCAGTTTATGATAAAGGTGTAAAAATGTAGTTGTTTGGAGAAGGATATGGGACCAAGGCGTTAGTTGGTTTTTCAGATAAGAGATTGTCTTTCATAACAGTTTATAGTTGTCTTTTTACACTATTATTTGTTATGACACTTAATAACTTTGCTATTAGGACAGAGAACATTTCTGGAGCAAGTAAAATGTAACAGAGAAAGAGAAAAAGCAGTAAAAAAGGAGGCCGGTGAGAATCAGTGAGGCCCGGGCACCGGGTAAACAGAATTCATAAGCAATTTAGGACATTTGTGGGGATGAGGACATTAATGAGGACGATAATGGTCATACCCAGGAAACGATTCAACATTGATTGTCTTGGGTTCATTTTACCCTTTTAAGAAAATAGCACATGGTTTTATAACCACTACCAATGCTTAAGTAGATAGTATGATTTCTAATTAGAACAGTGCTGGTTAAATAGCTCCTGGAAATCTCTTTCATCTCTTTAGCTTTTCACAAAGTGGTGGGGGAGGAACCATATTAACACACAACCCAAAATGTGTTCTGTACCAATGATCCAAATGCTAATATAAGTATGCTAAAGTTGTATTAGTCAAATAGAATGGAAAATTAACTGCAATAATCAAAGCTAAATAGATTCGTCCATACTGGAGTCACTTTAGGAACGACTTGGGGATATGTAAGTTTAATTATGACATGGAAAATAGCAATGCAATATAAGATCACATTTGGACTTTTTTCATTAAAATTGCAAACAAGTAAGAATCATTGTAACCCAAAATGCTTAGTGCATTATGTTCACTTGCTTCTGTCTAGCAGTATTTGCTGTGAATATTCCCATGTATATCTATCTATTATCTATCTATCTATCTATCTATCTATCTATCTATCTATCTATCTATCTATCTATCTATCTATCTATCTATCTATCCATCTACCTACCTATCATCTGTCTATCTATCCTATCTGTCTATCTACCTATCTATCTATCTACAAAGATATATGTGAACAAACACATATATTAGTGATAGAAATCACTAATATATACTTTTTATTATAAAAAAAGTAACTCCAAAGAAAGGAATATTTTGCACTGGGAGAAAAGACAGTAGGAGACAAAAACTTTACAAGTGTTTTAACTCCACTCTAGTCCCTCACTCCTGCTAAGAGCAGAGAGGAAGGTGACAATTAAAGAAGGGGAGGGGAAGGGAAAAACACAAATTGTTTAAATAGGGATACAGGAGGACTCATTGCAACAATGAGATGTACAAGATGCTCTGTCGAAAACGAACTTTACAACTTTGGCAGAGGGTGTGTGTGTGTGTGTGTGTGTGGTAGTCGTGGAGATGGGAAAGCAGGGATGGTAAGGGAAAAACAAAGGAGGAGGCAACAATTCTTGATAAGAAATGTACTCATTACTTTGCTCATGTAATTGTAACCCCTCTGTATGGTATTTTCACAATAAAAAACTTATTAATAAAATAAAAAAGAAGACAATTCTGCAAAATTAGATTAGAAAGCCTACAAGTTTGATTAAAATTTAAACCTGTTTTGCTTTAGAAAATCTTTAATATAACCAGGCACTGGTGGCTCACGCCTGTAATCCTAGCTACTCAGGAGGCTGAGATCTGAGGATTGCCGTTCAAAGCCAGCCCGGGCAGGAAAGACCGTGTGAGAATCCTATCTCCAATAAAACACCAGAAAACCGGAAGTG